AGGGCACGCTACTACACCCATGTGTTGCTGTCAATCCCCCTTTCCATGGAAGCTGCATGAGTGAGATTAGAGGCTTCGCAGGAAACAAATCCCCTCCCCATCGGCCCCATTCAATCATTACACCATGCATTTTGCAGGGCAAGAGAGGAAAGGGAAGCACAACACATCAGAGGGAAAGCAAGCAACAGAGGGCCAACTGTTCCGGAGCTGTGAAGCACATCGGCAGCAGAAATACAGTAAGGGTGCACGATTAGGTGACAATGCGTGGCATTGTCCACGGCTATCTGGAGTTGGGCAGGATTAAGTAAGATGAGCAACAACAGCCGTTTCATGCATCACACAGTGATGTTTCAGCAACATTGTGATGTGGCAGCCGATTTTATTAGATTACTTGATCCCTTTCATCCTTTAAAAAAAACTTCAACATTGTTGGACTCAATATATGACTGAGTAAGCCACTCTATATAATTACTTTGGGAATTTTGTGAAAATGAATCGTTTAGGGCCTGCCAAAGCAAGGCATTGTATAGAAATAGTTTGTTAATAAACCTCAACAATGCCACTGTAAAATAATTTCAAATAAAAAATGTATATCACAAATATACAATTCGATAAAAGTTACATGTATACCTGCTTCTTAATCTTGTAGCCTATGTTTTTTTAAACTATAATTTAAACAATGGAATATAATTAGCAGGTGAATGAAAAGGTGTACTCTCTTGTTATAACACTGCATTTGGAACAATGCCCGAGGAACACTTTTGTCTGTTCCTGTTACTGTATTCAAGATCCTTTGTGACCGTTCACGATGCATTTTTTTCAATTTTGCTGTGTTTTGCTGAATGGACCTCACCGCTTAAGTGGATGGTTCTTTACAATAACATCTGGAAATGTGACAGCATTTGTTTAACAAGACCTGGCCCTGCTGATGAAATCCAGAATCTTGAAACCATTCCAGAGTATCAGCTTTAACAAATCCTCTTGTTAAACTTTGTTCCATAAGGCCAATAGGCAAATGAACCGAATTTGTGTTCTACAGAGGAATTTGTGACATCATTTGCTCAGGTTAAATAGAGATGGCAATACATTTAAACGCTCGTCATGAGACATTCACAAGGTGATGGGTCAACTCACCATTGAACTTTAAATAATTCGATAAATTAAAATAATATTTCCATGACTCTTTTTTCACCAACCAATTCACTGTACAAGCAACAACAAGTACACATTAATGTGTTATTTACATGGAGTGTTTTCACATTTTTAAATGACAGACTGCATAAATATATATCCACAATAAAAACTGCCAATGTCAGTGTCTGTTCATAAACAAACCATTAATATCGTTGCAGAACCACACAAGTGTGCTTTCAAACTAAACACTTACCAGGAATGACCAAATGCGAATGGATAAGCACAACGTAACGAGACAATATCGTGACGTGACCTAAAGTGCAATTTTAACTCAACTGCCACTATTAGGCGTTGCCATATAGCTTTGAGAATACTAAGAATACGCAATAACTTTGACCTCTAAAATTAAACAGTGCCACTCCCATTTCAAAATCAATGGACAAGCCAACGTTAACCATGTCGTTTATTTGAAGTGTTGCTTCTTACGGACTGCAGCTATTATGATTCAGAAAAGCGCATATTTACTCTTCATTGTGTGAACGTATAGGTGGAGTCGGAAACATTGCATTGTGACTACGTCAGCACCAGCAGACAGAAATGTAACATCCATATCACCCTACTGCAATTCATTTTAGCAGTTTGGCAAAAGAACATGCTTACAGTGACTGACGATCAACCTTCATCTACTTACTCAATTTGGTACCTTGATTCATCTCAAAACGGTAATGCTATTGTCTGTAGTTTACCGAAATCAAAACACTATCAACGAAATATGCATCAATGTAATTAACGTGCAGTCCAGCAGCGGAAATCACATTGCTATATATTTGCAATCGCCCTAAACTTGCTCTGCTGCTTGACATTTCCAAACCACTTAAACTACGTGACCTTTTTTCTGGCATCATCACGTCGAGATGCACACGGAACTTATCTCGGACCAGGGAGGACAGCGCATGCCATTTCGTTATCAAGTCAATCGTCAGCAGCTCGAGCACTTTACACTAATCGCAACACCCCTGTCGCCCTACGCCCATCAAAAGCGCCGCGTTTTACTCGCTCGCATTGTTTACAGTCAGCGTGTGGGGGATCTGGACACAAGCACAGCAGCATCTCTCTCTTGCTGGCACTGGGCGTGGTGACAGTGACACACGCCTTGCCTTACAGCCAGGGCCCTACCGACACACACACACATTGTGAGGTCAGCAGATACGCACTGCCACCTACCCAATCTCGCTAGGCTCTGCCTACCAGATTACCCAAGCCACTGTACACAGCCCCACTCTGCTTTAACAACTCTGGCTCCATGGACCCGCGATGTGGTGGTTTTGCGGCACCACGTTTTTGACAGCTCTCCCATATATATTGACTTTGGTGATCTGGGTGTCAACTTGCAGGATGAGTCGATCATCTCCATGAACATAACACGCTAAAGGTATTGTGGTGTTCCTTCTGCCAGCAACAAAACGATGTGAATATTATATGGAAAGTTATAGAGTATGTATGAACATGATCAGTGTGGATATATTGTAATTGTAAAACTGACGAGACCCGTGCCCAAGGCGATCAGGCACGACTAAGTATCAATTCTCATCGTTCAGTCGACTGAACATACATTTATAATCACGTGTGTCAGAAACAACACGTGGTGGGCATGTTGTATCTGATGAATTCACTGCAGCAAACATAAGCCGCTACATTCACCCCAACGTAAAAATAACCGAGTTTTTGTTTTTAAAGACCCGAGTCGCGATCCGGAGCCACGGAAACTCATTGCATCACTGTTTAGTTTGGGGGTGGGGGCAAGGGAGAAGCGAATTGGTCGCACCCCGATTGATCACCCCCGAGCGTGATCGCTCCCCACGTGGAGTCTGTTCTTGCGGTGAGCGCTGCACACGTGGAGAGAGAACGCCGTGGGGCCAGCGAGACACAAAGCTGGCCGTGACACACACAGCACGGCAGCTCCTTGGCAGCTGTCGTGGCCCATTGTAGACACACTTCAACACTGTACAATAACACAGGCCTTCGTATTCTTGGTTCTTTCGGTAACGTCACGCAGATAGGAAAAAAATTAAGTGAATAAAAATAATGCAATTAAATAAAAATAACAAAAAGCCACTAATGTAGACTGTAGCTTGGTTCTAATCGGAGTGAGTGTACTGGCAGTCTATAATGTAGACTGTAGCTTGGTTCTAATCGGAGTATACTGCCAGTCAATAATGTAGACTGTAGCATTGTTCTAAGCGGAGTGTACTGGCAGTCTATAATATAGACTGTAGCTTGGTTCTAATCGGAGTGTACTGCCAGTCTATAATGTAGACTGTAGCTTGGTTCTTATCGGGGTGAGTGTCCTGGCAGTCTATAATGTAGACTGTAGCTTGGTTCTAATGGAAGTGTACTGGCAGTCTATAATGTAGACTGTAGCTTGGTTCTAATCGGAGTGAACTGCCAGTCTATAATGTAGACTGTAGCATGGTTCTAATCGGGATGAGTGTACTAGCAGTCTATAATGTAGACTGTAGCTTGGTTCTAATCGGAGTGTGTGTACTGACAGTTTATAATGTAGACTGTAGCTTGGTTCTAATCGGAGTGAGTGTACTGGCAGTCTATAATGTAGACTGTAGCTTGGTTCTAATCGGAGTGAGTGTACTGGCAGTCTATAATGTAGACTGTAGCTTGGTTCTAATCGGAGTGAGTGTACTGACAATCTAAAATGTAGACTGTAACCTGGTCCTATAACACAGGCCGCTCCCACACCGCATCAGCAATGCTGCTGCTGCCTATAGCGGGTCTATTGTGATTAACATTCTGTCCCCTCTGCTGCCTCCAAATCTCCTGGCCCAGCACTGTTTCACACACCCCCCCACCCCCCTTGTGTTCCTGACTGGTGTACACACGACTCATCCTCGATGGGACAATGGTTGTGATTTTGTCGAACCTCTCTGCACCTATGTGCAGTTCCTCCTTTGTGCATTGTTGCTAGTCAATCCAAAATGTTCGTTTTAAAGGCGTCCCCCTGCACGGGAACCACGGTGTCTGCCTGTGTTTTAAGCAACACTTTATTCCGTGCAAGTCGTTACAAAGAGGGTCTCTCTCTCTCTCTCTTGGTGTCACACAACATGATGAATGTACGATGAACAGATCTGAAGGTGCACGTGTTCACGTGCTGTCTGTCAAAGTCTCATTCCAGCCAGCACACATTCAGCTTGGCTGAAGACATTCACATGCAGCGTGATGTCGAGATATCATCATCATCATGTCCTTGATGATGGTGATGGTGAAACATTGATGATGCTGATACTGATTAAATATGGCAACAGTGGGGTTATTACAAAACAATGTGGTTATGATGAATATGCTCAAATGTGAAATCTGATGACGAATATGGCAGTAAAAGATAACGATTATAAAATGTGAAATCGCATGCTAACATGTTAAATCCGACGACAAATATGGCAGTAAAAGATGATAACGATTATGGTGAAAACTGAACATGATTACGATGAAGGTAACGATACAACAGTGACTATGTGGAACACGGCAATGCAACACGACGATGATGACTACGACGGGATGGTGATTGTGGTGGTGACACAGATCGTGATTTTACTCCTCACTAACAATAACCGGGTAGGTTACACATCAACACGATATCATCACGACGCAGACAACGATCATTAATCCATCACGATTACTGCCTTTGCTGCTCTGGATGACAATACTGCAGCTACAGCACAAAAAAACACACAAATCATCAGATGAATGATAACACCGTGATGATGGTGATGATGAGGTTGCTACAGCTGATGGTAATGATGATGTTGCTGCTGCTGCTGATCACGATGAACATCCTCAGGCAACTCACTCACCTATTCTTCCTCCACCTCCTCCACCTCCTCTTCGCTCTCCCCGTCCTCACCGACAAACTTTCCGCGCCGTCCGCATTGCCAGGGCCCCCCCCCCCGACCCCGAGCGCTCCGCTGGCTGTACTGCTTGCACTGCTTGTAGTAGTGTGGTGGTTGTTGTTGTTGTGGTGGTGGTTGTTGTGGTTGTGGTTGTTGTGTGTGTGTGGTGGTGGTGGTGGTGGTTGCTTTGGGTGCAGCAGCAGCAGCAGCGGACTGACGACGCCGCCGCCCGCACCCACAGCCGCTCCGCTCTGGGTGAGAGCCGAGCCTTTCCGGAGCGCACTGCGCATGCGCGCAGGCGGGGGGGGGGGGCGGTGGGGGGAGGGTGTGGCGCCCCCCCCCCCCTCCACTCCTCCCCCCTCCACTCCATCTCTACCTAAGGCACGACTCCCAATGCTGAACAGCGCTCCCGTTCCTCCTCTAGATTCCATCTGTTCCTCTCTCTCTCTCTCTCCGTGCCATCACATTCATCTCTATTCCACCCTGTCCTATTCTCTCAGCTCCATCCCTCTCTCCCGTTCAATGTATGTATGCCACCCAATCTCTCCCCCTCCCTCTCTCTATCTCATCCTCTCATATCCCTTGATCACATTAACCCATCCCACATGTCTGGGCTCCGTCACATTCCTTTCTATGTGCCACCACATCGCTCTCTTATCTCATCACTTCACCGTATCCCATCCTCTTCATCCTATCCCTTCACTCAAACACAGCACTGACACGTATATTCTCCTCCTCGTGAGTTTTCTTAACTCAACTACTAATCGAGGGCTGACGTCGCTGGTCCAGTTCAGAGATGTGCATTGAGATTGAACAGTGTGGACCGAGAGACGTGGGGGAATGTCTGCACCGGCTGGATCAAAAATACTGATTCTTCACTCACGTGGATTTCATGAGAATCAGTACTTCTGATGTGAGAGCCAGAGACAGGCTGAATGCGTGAGACACGGGAGGCTTGGGTTTGGAAGTGCGGACAAGTTTCGACCCACCCAAATAATAATTATAACTTCCATGGGCTCTCATAGCTTCTTAACCCCCACAGCCACCAACTATAAAGTCATTCGCACGTGCAAGACCAGGATCCCTACTCTTTCACCACACCACAGCCCCACAATTTCTTCACCTCATTACAACATCCTAATACTCAACCACTACCTTTCGGTAAACCACATCCTTTGACTAAGTCAGTAGTACTTGGATGGGCGACCACCAGGGTTTTCCAAGTGTTGTGGCTATGGGGCAATGAGGTGTGGCCAGGAGATGGCAGTGTCGAGTGTCACCCTCTCCTATATGTGGGCCTTCTCTGGGTTTTCTGGTTTTCCTCCACATGCCACAACATTGTTCGTGAAATTATTCAAACACTCAAAGATAAAATCCTTCCTAAAAATAATTTTGAGACTCAGTGGGGCTTTCCTGGTTTAATAACTGGTATTATACACATATAGCGCACTATCCTATTTAATCACAGGTCCACAACTGTACCCCTTCATTAAACATTTCTTAACTAGCCCACAACTACTACCCTACACCTCACGACAACCACATCTCCTGCACTCAATCTTTACAACACAATTTACCCCTTCACTTTAATGGAACTAAACACAACCTTCTACTCTTCAGCTAATAATTGCCCCTTCATTCAACCACTGCATTTTACTTTCACCACAAGCCCACATCCGTCTCCTGGTCAACTTCTTACAGCTTGAAAACACCTCAGCACCGTCTTCTTCCACCACACGTGATCGAAGTTCTCAATAAAGAGCCGGCCCGTCCACCTCATTCACCCCAATCCTCTTGTGTTTTCACTCACTCCAACCCCTCGATGATGACCAGGCTGCTCTTCCTTCCCCCCATCTTCTTCCATCGTTTCCTGTCTTCATTCGAATCAAACTCTGGGTGAAAACCTACCCCTGCCTTGATCTTATTCAACATAGTCCCTCTGGGAAGACACACCACCCCCTATTTCCATAAAAATGTTGTTAATGTTTTTCAATGCGCCAGAGCTACACTGTAGTCGTATCAGGGACTAGTCCCTGGTAGCAAGTTGTGGCCATTAATTTTTAATTGCTTTTTTCGCTGATAATATGTATCTTTGTTTTACGATTTACGTTTAGAAATGTAGGCTGACTGAACGAGTAAAACATTAACCTCCAGGATGCAATTAATGGGGGTGCCAATCTCAATGAATTCGTTTTCGATAATGTTTTATTGTTTTCACCTTTGACTTAACTACGCATTTGCCAAATGCCAGCTAAGATTTTGTACACGCATTAGATAACCAGTTACCTATCTGCATGACCGAATGCATACTAAAACAACAATCAAATGAAAGTCTGGTGAGATGTATCGACTCGTAAGTTTACAACACAAACACGCGTCATCGTCCGCCGCACGACGATGCATGCGGGTGAGACGGCTCAGTAGCGCACCAAGCGTTGGCAATGTCCATGTGCAAGGAACACTGCATTCTAAAACAATACTAAAACCTACTTGTTCATCCGAGAAAAGCCACACTGAGTCAGTCGCAGGACACTTTTTAAGGAGGGGTTCCTGCATTTCGCTCTTATTTGAAGATGTGTTCAGCCAATTAATGATGAGTCATTATACGTAACCGGGATGGGGAGGTTCATGATAAACGGTGCGTATAATCGCGTCCCTTGTCGACGATATTAAGGGGAATTGGCAGCGGGGCTGACTCTGTGTGCGATTGGCCTTGGCAGACAGGTAGCTGGCTAGATTTCCACCCCTTCTCCGGCATGTGTGTAAGCGGCTTACCTCTCAGAATCAGGGAAACGATTGAGGGGGGGCAGAGGCGGTGAACGGAGAGTTGTCAAGGTCGAATCTTGACGAGACAATCAGGTTGCAGGCATTGACGGAGTTGCCGATGCTGCTGGCGCCTTCCCAGCGTGCAATTAAAGGCATCTTTGGTTGAGGTTTTACACCAGCTGTTGGTAGTTCCCCTGTGTGTGTGGCCCCGAGAGAGTGAGTGCGTGTGCTGCAGAGATGGCAAGAGACAAAGGGGAAGTAAAGAAGACAACGCAAGAATACCACCATAATTACATTTTATTTACTAACCACCTCGATGTTCTTGATGAAGATCAGAGCCAAGAAGAGCGATGCATTGTGGCCACGGGTTTACATATACGCGTCGGAGGAAAACCGAAGTGCCCGGTGAAAACCCACGCGCGCGAAGGGGGAAACACTCCATCCTCGTACAGATGGAAGCGGTTGGCGATAAGTCCACTCGCTGCACTGCCCTCTCCTGGCGAGCAAGGGTCATGGCACCTCGACGCCCGCAGAGGAAGGGAGTTCCACGTGGTTCGTGTGATCCACCAACCAACCCTCTCGCCTGCAGTGCTGGGTTACAATCCACGTGCATAGCCACAATCGCTCAGGTTACATGGGGCCGTCCATAAATGATGTCAAGCACCTAGGGGGGGGGGGTCAGACATTTGTGACGATGTGTGACGGGGGGGGGGGGTTGAGAAATGTGACGTCCCATCAAAATGCGCAACTTTAAATAAATATAGACAACACGTTCTACTTAATTAAATAGAGTTTTAATAAATGTTTTCTCCCACAACATCAGAGTACGGCGCCACGTTAAATACGCACTACAATGACAATAGTTTAAAGCGATTTGAAGCATGTTTTATTTATTTGGGGAGGGGGAGGGCAGAGCTTTGTGACGTCATATTTGAGGGGGGGGGGGTCTGACTTTTTGTGACGCCGTGTGACGAAGGGGGGGAGGGGTCAAAAATCGTCAAAAATCGCGTGACGTCATTTATGGACGGCCCCCAAGGCGTGCAACAAATGCCAATGGGTGTCTTCTGATACGTTACAGGCTTTTTATTTTCGGGTGTTCGGGAAGGCTCGATGTACCTCAATACACTTGGCAAGGCTGTCATTAAATTACGGGAGTATGTTGCGGGTACAGTACTTTGTGATTCTCACTTCAAGGTGTACGATCATGAGTTGTTTGCACATAAATGCCTCCTAAAGCTAAAGCCTCTTGATTTGAGAATGACCTCCATTTGAAATATTTAGTTAATTGGCCAATTCGCTTGGGGGGGGGGACTGTATATTTGATTTGAGGGAAAGCTAAGTTTCCTCGAGAAAGATGACACATTGAAGGGTTACTTCACCCTGGCCACAAACATAATTGGAGGAACTGCTGTCGACAATAGCATCTGCTTCACCAGAATGTGGTGCTTCACGCACTGAGCTTTTTACTCAGCTACCTGGTTTAGATTCCCAGCCATGGCTTTCATAAATGGGCAGTGATATCTGAAACAGTATAGTAATAGGGTTTTACCCTTTTATCTGGCACCAAAACTGACACCGTTATACAAGGGATCGTGTTTGCAATAGCCACAACACAAGCAGTCAAATGCAAACAAAAATAAACAACTCTGATGATGATAATGATATGCACTGTCCTTGAAGTTGATTGGCCCACACCCGAGACAGCTTTTCTTAGAGCCTAGTCTCACATGGTGTTGGACCAGATGACGCCAAAGGTGTACAACTCAAAAACAGTGCACTATCAGAGTATTGAGAGCTCGGGGTAAGAATATACATTAATATCTGAAACAGTCCAGGGTACCCTCTTCACCACCAACCCGCACTGAGCAACGCGTTGAAGAATGTTCAACAACTCTCACGGCCGACACAGCGAAGGTAATCCTTCATCCAGCAGTGAATTGATGAAAGGCTGAAACATTACCTGTTGTTATTTAAACCATCATTATGTGCACAGCAAGCCTGCCTCTTCTGATGAGACACAAAACGTCACACACATGCTGATGGTTGAAATGTATATAGGGCCAACACACCGATGGAACAGAACACGTTCGTGTTGATACCAATGGAGATGGAAGAAGTGAGATTACCCACACTTTAACTCACCAAATGTCTGTCAATCGACCGTGGTCTACTCATTTACTTTGGTGATACCGGAGTGGAGGCTTGGATGGGCGACCATCGTGCCTAAAAGATGTATTATAGCCTGTGTGGCTACGTTGTGGGCAACAGGAGGTAGTGTGCAGCAAAGGGGTGGCAGGAATGGATTTCTACCGAGATCAAGTCCTCAATGTAGCAGAGGATTGTACCTGGAGACACGGAGGACGGTGTATTTAAGTTCCCAGTGTTGTGCCGCCTCCTACAGGCAGCACGAGAGTGTGTCTCCACTTGCCCCACTTTGGCCGCAGCTCTCTCTCTCTCGTCCAACACGCCCGTCCGAGCGTGATCCACCAACACGCCTCCACCTCGCCACACAGCACCACCCGCGACATTCCAGTTTAAATGTTTACCCAGGTGAGAACTCAACAGATGAGTATATAGTAATTCCAAAGAGTGACCTGGGTCCCCCAAAATATGACAAACACAATACAGGACTAAATTTCGATTTAAAGCTTTCGTGACTGCAGGGATTTATCCTCTTGGTTCTTTCAGTAAAGTCACGTAGAAGGGAAGTAATAAAATAATACAAATAAAACATAATAAAATAATTCTCACGACGTTTCGGCCACAAGAACCAAGAGGAACAATACAGGACTGTAAAAGAAAAGTCACACAAACTGGCTCTGCTTTACTCCAAGCAACCACTAACTCATGACTATTCTCCGGATTGCAAGACGCATTGGAAAGTAAGACGGGTTCCAAACGTATGCCCTCTCTCCTGCTTTCGATTGAGCCTATTAATCAGCCACGAAAAAATGTGATATAGATTATAGCAGTCCCCAATTCAAATAACGGCCACCACCACTGCCTCCCCCAAAGATGATGCCTGTGACGTCACCAAGCCCCAGTCATCACCTCCCGTCCAGCGGCACACGTGGGAAGAGAGGAAACAAGAGTTTTTATTTGGTTATTCTATGTCGGCTAATCTACCGATCGTGAAAGACCCAACGCCAAAGATCCATGGGTTTGATCTCCCACGAAGTTCATTAGCTTGGTATCCGTACAAACCATGGCAGATGCGGATAACTGATGCACAAATTGAAACTTAAAAACTGTCCAGTGTGCGACTGTAGTCATCCAGAACAATTATTCAGATTTGAACGTAATAAAATGCGTATTTTTTCGTTCAAACCCGCTTGAATCCGAAATATATTAAAAACAATCAAATATAAAACAATGGTTCTCGATATAATTGTATTTGTTGTTGAACGCTTTATCAAGCGAAAAAAAAACACAATCCTATATTTTGAACGGTTTCTGAATGACACCAGGCACAAACACGTTGATGGGGCAATTGAAATCTAGATTTGGGGGTCTTAAAATTAACAATCTCGGATTTCCAGATTTTTCCTGTTTTTGTGTCCTAAAAGCTACCTATGTACCAAATGTCAGCTTTCTACCTTATCGGGAAGTGCCCTAGAGGTTTTTGAGACGTACAGTATTTATTTATCTATCGAAGAAGATATGTCGAGCATTGCCGGGAACCGAATGAGAAGGAAACACCTGTTCAAAAGCGGTTACCGGTTTGCCGCACAGCGAAATTCCTGGCAATTAAAAATATAGACACAAATACGGAACCCATCCAAGAGTTACACAGCAAGAATACTGTAAGATTCATAAAGTTGAATTCCTTAAATGGGTTTATGTTTCTATTAGAATTCTTTAAAGAATTGTATTTAAAAAAATGTTATTAGCTCCCTCTAGTGGACGCCCTCCACTCCAGACGTGAGATACTGTATCAGATTTTCACCCCCAAACCCCCCACAGAATCAAGTCGGTACAATATAGAGTTGCTTCCCAATTAAAAATAACAGCTTTACAATTTTGACTGAGAAACAAAGGGAGCCACTGTTGTGTAGTGTTTGGCACAATGATCCCAACTACCTCGCCTGGTACACAGGAGGTCGTGGATTCAATCACCGACCATGACGCCTGCAGCTGTATTTTTGGAGTTTGCATCTCTCTCTCCCCGTGGTCGTGTGGATTTTTAAATCCTTTATATTAAGTTCACTTGCTTGCTTGCTTACGACCGTGCAAATCTTTCGGTCGTTTTTTTAACCCACTTCCCGTGATCCAATCGAGCTGACATTTTGCACACAGACTCATTGTGCGTGACAATTTATTTTCGTGAAAAAAAAATACAATTTTTTAAAAATATTTAATTACCAATTGCTTAATGGTGGCAGACAATCATCTGACCCATAGGTGGCAGCCATCTCAAGCCAGAGGACGAGAGGACTCTAGCCGCCCGTTTCAAAGACCAATGTGGGCTGGGTTGTGGGCTGGGTTGTGGTCCATTGAACACGCATATAAAGGATTTATAGTGAAAAACTTTGTTTTTACGGGTTAATTTTTTCTCAGTATCCTCCGGTCTCTCCCTCCACATTTAGAATTAACATCACTCTTTTATTATATTTCCACGTGATAAGCCGCTTCGTTGAGCTATCAGTTATAGGCCAAGTAGCTTCTGAGAACTCCATAGCTTAGTGGGCCTTACTTGGTAAAACATTTTTTTTTAAGTTTTAGTTTATCTCCCGCCACTGCAGTTTACATATATCAATTGAAAGAGTAGGCGTAAGCTTCAATCAGTGCGTTCATTATTAAATTGCGCTGGAATCGGTTACCGGTTCCTCCATTTCTGAACCGGTTATCTTAACAATCCCGAATGTTATTGTTCAGAGTGGTCCAGATGTATTGTGATCCCCCCCCCCCCCCCATTTAATTCTGTAAAACGTCATGTTTGTTAAAGCTATCGCCACCAAACTTGGCAGGGTTGCATTTTAAATCCCCATGGAAAACCTTAGCGACATGGCGAGCCGACATAATAGAAAGGGGGGCTCAGCGCCCCCCAAACGCATAGCTGTCAACCCATACGGTTTAGCCATATTATTTTACATGGAAACAGCCGTTTCAATACAGGCAAAACATGTGTCTGTGTTTCTCCCTTGTCATGGGATTTTGTAGGATGAATTTTGATATTTATAAGGGGCACGGGGTGACCAATAAGGTCTGACTTGGTCTGTAATAAGATAGGGCACTTATAAGGGTTTGCAAACGGTACCCCCCCCCACACGCTCCCACCATCCCTAACCCAGCACACATTCACCTGGCCCAGCACATCTCACAGTCACGTAATTACCACCACCACCCTCCTCCTCCTCATTAAGTTAATCGAACAATTGCCGTTGATTGGCATCACCCAATTAACCTGTTGCGGTGATTCCAATTAAGGGACATCCTCGGCGACCTCGCCCGTTGTCTTTCCGTGGCGAGATAAACAACACGGAATCATTAACTTTTAAAGTATTTACATTAAAAAAACAATTAACTTTTATCACTATTCTCCATGCGACCTACAAAAATACTAAACTCAATCAAGAGATTATTAAACTGACTGAATGAAAATTCCAATAATTACAACAAGAACATCATTATTTTCTCAACTTACACTACCAATTCACGTGGCCTCCAACTTTGTTTTACCTTCACCAATGTTCTTTGAAATTGTTCCTCTTTTGAGTTCAACATGTGCCCCTAGATTGGTCAATGAGACCTTTTTTTCCCAGCCACTGCTCTGCCCGCTGCATTACTCTGCCACGTGCAGATTAAATGCTTCGTGATTACTCGGCACGTTTGCCAACAATCTCGTGCAGTAGTATCATTTCGTACCACATTGTGGCACCTTCCGTTACGTTCATTACAGCAGGGCCCTATGGGCCCTATGGCACAGCAACATCTTAACATCTTAACAGTTTCTATAACCCTATTGACCCCCCGTCCTTCTGAACACAACGATTGAGCCACTGTAAAATTCACTTAAGATAGCTGCAAGTATCCCTGCTAATATCAAATAGAAAAACAAAAGTTTAGGGGTCATTTAATTGGGGGGGGGGGGGGGTCACAAGACATTATTTTGGTGGTCAATTTCTACGTGATAAGCCACTTTGTTGAACTATCATTTGTGGCCAGGTCGCTTTAAAAAAAACTTGAAGTTCACACTTCAGTGGGCTTTAGCTGGAAGCATGGGCATGGTTTAGTTTTATTTGTATGTTTATTGGAATGTTTTATTTGCTTTTCATGTGTTTGTATTGTCTGTTGTTATAACGGGGGTTTTTACCCGCCCCTCCTGGACATCCAGTATAAATATTCTGATCCGGACCACCCTGGAACAACCAATACATTTGCATAATAGGAGTCTCCAATTATCGATGGGATCACAGTAATCGAATCGCGAGAAGGAATCGTATTCAAGGGAGAATCGTGTCACAGCCAGTACATTTGCATTCTAGACTCCTCAATTAACGATGGAACGTAAGGAGTCGATTCGCGAGAAGGAATCGTATTCAAGAAGGAATCGTGTAACAACCAAACCATTTGTATAATCGATTCTCCATTTAACGTTGGGATGTAACGATTCGAATCGAGAGAGAATCGTATTTAAGGGAGAATCGCAAAGCCTCTGGGCGCTGACGTCACCCGGAAACGGCGGGAACAACAACAGCGAGGTACAGTAGGAGGTACAGTAGGAGCTGCAGACGATGCGACGCTTCTCCCGCGGCCGCCTTTGTCTCTCTCCGTTGCAGCTGCTGCTGCTGGACGCGAAGAGCGGCAGGAGTGGGCAGTAAAGCCCCGTGGGGAGGGGTTGACGGATTCGAGTTCGTGAGAGGGAGTTTAGCGCTGCTGTGTCGCTGCGTTGGGCTCCTGAGCGAGTGCAGTGACTGGCACCGGTGGCTGCTTGGCTCGTAGCTCGTTGACTGGCTAATGCCGGTGTCTGGTTGACTAGGGCTGGTTGACTGACTGGTTAGGGCTGGTGGTTGACTGACTGGTTAGGGCTGGTGGTTGACTGACTTGGCCAGGGGCTAGGGGCTGGTGGTTGACTGACTTGGCTAGGGGCTGGTGGTTGACTGACTTGGCTAGGGGCTGGTGGCTGGTTGACTGACTTGGCTAGGGGCTGGTGGTTGACTGACTTGGCTAGGGGCTGGTGGCTGGTTGACTGACTTGGCTAGGGGCTGGTGGCTGGTTGACTGACTTGGCTAGGGGCTGGTGGCTGGTTGACTGACTTGGCTAGGGGCTGGTGGCTGGTTGACTGACTTGGCTAGGGGCTGGTGGCTGGTTGACTGACTTGGCTAGGGGCTGGTGGCTGGTTGACTGACTTGGCTAGGGGCTGGTGGCTGGTTGACTGACTTGGCTAGGGGCTGGTGGCTGGTTGACTGACTTGGCTAGGGGCTGGTGGCTGGTTGACTGACTTGGCTAGGGGCTGGTGGCTGGTGGCTGGTTGACTGACTTGGCTAGGGGCTGGTGGCTGGTGGCTGGTTGACTGACTTGGCTGGTGGCTGGTTGACTGACTTGGCTAGGGGCTGGTGGCTGGTTGACTGACTTGGCTAGGGGCTGGTGGCTGGTTGACTGACTTGGCTAGGGGCTGGTGGCTGGTTGACTGACTTGGCTAGGGGCTGGTGGCTGGTTGACTGACTTGGTTCGGGATAGAGGCTGTGTCAGGTGTGAGCTGTGAGCCGCGCCCCCAAGCGCTCCACTTTGGCATTGCGCGCCAATGTGGAGTGAGTGCCCCCCCCCCCCCACCAAGTGGCCGCTTGGTGCTGGCAGCGCTCCGAGCCACGTGCTCTGCAGGGCCATCCCATCTGCTTGTGGACAGGGACGCGTGATCTTAATTGGGGATGGGGGGGCCTTTATATCCTCACAAGACTGAGCCACTGCATTACAATTGGCATGTAGGAAGTTGTTTGGTAATGCTGCATTTGCGCGTTTGTCACGCTCAAGCATAATTATTAGTCAATAATACTGTCTTTTTCGAAGGCGGCAATTTCCTAGTTCTGCAGTCCTCTGAAATGGTAAGATGTTTTCGGCCAATTTAATGAGTTTATGACTGGGAGGGAACCGGAGAACCGCGTGGAAATCCATGGGTGCGATCGAGAAACATTCTATCCCATTTTGATGGGCAGATGGCGATTAGTCCGCATTTTGCTGTACAATGCGAGGTGAATGGAGGTGGTGATGGCAGGAGAGGTAGAGTGCAGAAGAGGGTTTGCATGACTCAAGTCTTCCATCGGTGAATATTTAACATTTTGTTATGATACGGGCTGGTATATATTGGCCAATTGCAGTGTTAACGTCCCAAAATGTTACGCAGAATTGATCAACCTTGGGGGGGGGGGGGGGGAATTTACGGGAATAGTACATCGCCAACTGGCATTCAAGTCGCCTGTGTAAGTGATACAGACACTGCGCCATCTACCGGATGTGTCGTGTTTAAATGACCTCAAGAAAGTCTCGCCCAGTTCTTGGCGCTTGGGAAATCAGTCTGCTCATGTTTGTCAGAAACTTGCTGAAGTATGAAAGCCTTGCTCATTGCACACACCGCTCCAGCTTGGGCTCTGAATGGTCTTTGCACACATTTGTCGCTACTTTTCTGTTGTAAATGGCTGGTTTTCGGGAGATGTGAGAACACATTTTGGGAGGGAGAAAAAAACTTGTTCAACTGATCAGGTGGGCACTTGTAATAACCTCCCTAATGTGAATTAAGCAGCAATGTTGGGCCAATTCCATTCGGCAGTAAACATTGGTCCACTCAATGAGTCATTGATGGCTTTTGTTGGGCTAATGTGTGTGCTCAACTAGCTCAAGTGGTGGCTTAAGGTGTGTACACATGCACTCGCATGGCATGGAAGAGTTGGTTTTTAAATAAGGAAATTGTCAGGTAATAGGTACAATGATTTATTGTCACTTCTACGATGGTTGTGAATGCAATTGATAATCCACAAGCGGCGTTCGTAAATTATTTTCTGGAGAAGCAGGTCTCGGATAGACAAAAATGTGGACTCTGGTTCAAGGCTACCAACTAATAAAATCACTGCTGCTGCTTTACACTGCTTCAATTTGCATTTATGATTTTTAGGTGTCTCGCATGGTTTCTGACTTTGCTTAAGACGTTAGCTCGGTTTGACATTTTAGCCGTGGTTGCTTATTTTGTGACTTATGCTCGCAAAACAACCTATTTAAAGTAATATAATACATGCCTATTATCTGTTTTAATCTGCTTTCTCTAAGCAAACAAGGCACTTTTATTTAATGGCAGAATGCACAGCAAGGTGTAGAAAGCACTTTTTTTATAAGGGACTCGTGGTGTTAACTATTTTGAAACGATGTATTTTAACACTTGGCAGCATAAGGCCTGCCTAGCAGTTTCCAATATGATTAGGTACCGAGTACCAATTGTGCTCCTTTTCGTGCATGTGAACATGTATCTTTAGTTATTGTTAATACCTATTTTAATATAAATCTTCAATTCATTGCTGCGATGTTAGGAATATAACATGTTAACTCGCTGTTAGTGTTCATTTCCCACCACTTCTAAGTCGAAATATTGCCCCTTGCAGAATAAACACTTCTGCTGTACTCTTGCTTGTGAAGATTGTCAACATCGGTGGTGCCACATCGATCGGTGCATTTTAGTCAGACTTATTTGGGAATATCCTTGTGTATTTATCAGTTGCAGTATATTTGCGTCCTATGGTGTAATCTGCCACATGTAATACTAAGTGCATAGACACTTGGAACTGAATTTCTATTAAAATACGTAATGTAGTGACAATTTAGTTTAACCGAAGTGATCAGTATTGTTAAAGCATGACGTGTGGAGAACTAAGGCAGTCATTAAATATTTCAGAGTAACTTCATTCTTAAAGTTTGAACTTGATAGTCTTTATTAATACCGAGCTGTAGTATTACATTTAACCAATTCAGTGTTAAGAAAACTGCAACTTGTCAGTTTTTAGCACCCATTTTATAGTCAACGGTAACCATTAGTAAATCTTCCACAATGAAACCAGGAATCTGAGTCACTTGAACTTGTGCAATAATGTTATCAAGCTTGCTAGTTTTTCACCGGTAGAATAGTTTACGTTTTAGTAAAGGGCTCGCCCAACAAATGTGTTCAATTGCACTATAAACAAACACATTGACGCTATTTAATATATGCAATGAAAACATCAGCGAGACGTTTGCTTGGCCTTTTTTCTTTATTTCTTCACAGCTTACGTGGGCACTCGGTGCCGCAACTGCCATGAATCCTGTGGTGCTGAGCTACAACAATTGCCTGCTTCGTCGTGCCGATGTGGCGCTGCTGGAACCACCGAACTGGTTTAACGATCAGGTGATGGCGTTCGCCTTCGAGTATATGGAGCTGGAGGAATTTGTAGGGATGCCCAATAACCAGAAGTTGTGCTTCATCGGGCCCGAGGTGTCGCATTTCATAAAGTTTTCACCAGACGAAGAAATTGGAGTCGTGCTTGGACCGCTGGACCTGCAACAGAAAGACTTTGTGTTCCTGGCCATCAACGACCATGCGTCGCCCAATACTAGCGGGGGCACACACTGGAGCCTTTGCTTTATGACAGGTATGCACACGAGCAGGAGGACTGCGTTTATACACTCGTATTGCACGAGCTGTCCCCTGGTCCTCTACTGTGGTGTCATGATGCATGAACAAATTATTTAATAAATTAATTCAAATATCCCAATGCAGGACTTTCTTAGGAGTTGGATTATCTGATTTAAAAGCCCTTGTGAGAACTGGTGTATTTTCACCTTTTTTTAAACTCGAAATTCTATTCAGCAGTGCCTAATACAGTTTAGAAATGTTACTTTTAGTTTCGGCTCTGGTTACTAATAGTTAAATGTATGCAATGGCAATGCAATTGCTCATCAGAGTTCATGTTTGCTTAATGTTATAATAACTAAGACAAGTGAGATTTCCATGATCCACTTGGTGACAGATGGTGCACTTTGGTAAAATTCTCCGTAGAAATTTCTGGGTTGCTTTAGAGATCCAGGCACCCAGCCCCTTGCAACTGGCTTGTGCAGCCCACTGCACCATAAAGCCACATCAGTCTGCATTGCTTATAGAATTGTAACTAATTGTAGACTTAACAGATTACATTTTTCTTCGCATCCATCTATACTAACAATAAAATGTACATTAACAATGTGTACTGTACAGCATTATTTGGAGTACTGTATATGGTGTTTTTGGAAGTAGCATGTGCATTTTTTCATGTCCTGTACTAGTCAAGCATTTTGTCGTAAGCAATGGTGAAAATGCCACAAGCACTTTGAAACAATAGATTTAAAGAAATTACGGCACAACTTAAGGAATTTGTTAATGAGTGTCATGCTAACCTTAAACTTTCAAGAAATATATCTTGTCATGTTAAATGTAGCATTTTATGAGTAAACCCATTTATTATTTTGGGAAAGTCTTAGTCTTGGTACAGATGTGTAAAAATAGACCACCCAGTTGAAACTTTAAATCCTTCAGAGCATAACACAAACATAATTAAAGTTGTTTTTGGTCTGAGGTGTTTTAGGAACGTCGTGCTATAATGTGCATTTGGGTACAATGAAGCAGCATTGTCAATTGTTGCGTACTGCCCCATTTTTATTATTAAAAGATCTAGAGTGATGTTTGGGTGGTTGACATCATTTCACGTGTGTGCTATTTAAAACAATGTTGACCCAGGAATATCCGTTGTTGAAAACTGACTTGTGTGCTTAAGCAGATTTTTATTTTACCCCCCCTCCCCAACCCATTTCCCTCCCTATCTGCAACCCTGGCAGGGCGACCGATACGTTCCGGCACTACGACTCAAGCCAAGGAAGTTGCAACAGCACGCAGGCACTTCACACTGCACGGAGGCTGAAGTTATTCCTGGGCAGGGATGAGTCTTTAAACCCGATCTTCAGCGAAAAAGTTGAGACTCCGCAGCAAGAGAATGCGTACGACTGTGGCGTGTATGTGCTGTGCCATGCAAGACTTCTGGCAAGAGAGTTCATGTTGGGGAGAGTGGGCCCAACCTTGAATGAGATAATTACTCCGTCTTATGTGACTCAGCAGAGGAGAGAGTTGCGGCAACTCATTGACAAGCTAGCTAAGCAAAACCACATAGCAAGCAACTGAGCAGACACTTGAATAAAACAAAACGGCCTGAACAAAACTAATCTGTCAGGTCTCTGAAGCTGAGCGAGGTTGGGCCTGGTTATTGCTCGAATGGGGGACCGCTTAGGATTATCGGGTGTTGTAGGCTTGAGTTGAGATGGAATTTGGAGATAAAGTACAGGAATGAATTATTTAATATATGGGCTGAGCTTTGAGTGTTACCCTTCACATTTGTGGGTTTTCTCCAGATACTGTTTTCTCCCACATGGAAAACAAATGAATAAAAACATGTCTTGATGCTTATTGAGTTTTTTTCCTGGGTAAATTGCATTGCAATAAATCCAGTAATTTCACCAATAGGTAATCCACAAATACTGTACTTTGTGGATTGGCGGTTTGTGACTGCTGTAACCCTCGGCACACTTACAGATTGAAAACGCTTTGTGGTCTGGATCCACAAGTGGACTGGGCTAACGTGGCATTACATATAAAGTGAGGGAAGGTTTTACAAATGTATTTGCAATTTCAATCTTTTTTCTTTGCATGTCAAGCAAAAAAAACATTGTAGATTTGAACCGTTTTGAGTATTTGACAACTTGTAACCTCGTGCGAATTTATTGTGGATAATTTTTTTAGAGTCCTATAATCCACGTGCGACTGAAATGATTGTGTGGCTGATTTCTTGTATAATCTGCCGTTCGCATCCTACGCAAATTATTTCCGTGGATAAGGAACTAAACTCCAGTGTGCCACGGATTGCAGTATCTGTCGTATGGTCCCCCTATATCACCATGGATTATTTCATTTACACAGCACTTGTATGATTAAACATACTTTTAAAATGGCACATCTAAATTCTTTATAAAGATGTAGTCCATATAACGACTTTACATGCCTGTCCCTAGCATTTGGTCCTGCACTTTGGCAGTTGTGTGTAAGAGGATGAAGCTTACAAAGAGCTGATGCATATTTGTGAATTGAAGTTCAATAAAATCAAGTAATTTATCACCCTTGTGCTTCAATAATTTACCACTTTGAATCCTGATGCGTGTCTGGTTTAGATTCAATTATCAAGTTTTTTTGTCACATTCACTTTGATAGCCTTTTGCTTATGTATGTTGAACTGTTGCACGTCTGTCGCCAACCGTGGTAATTAGAAGTGCGGGGGAAGGCCACAAACTAAACCAAATCTGTTCTGGCATGAACAAGGACATTTACCCCTTTTCCATATCTAGGGTCCCAACCCCACGGATTTGCACAGTTGGCTGTGTGGTATGGAAAGTTCTAAATACAATTTATCCAGGGTTATTTGGTTGTAAGACTTTGCCTAAACTTCGTTTATCTGTAGTTCTAACTCCAGACAAAAGTTTCACCAAATGTCACGTGCCTCTTTGGCAGCAGTCCTAAACACGGTCTCTCCCAACGTGATGGGTATGGGAAGGAGCTTGCTTGCCATCATTTTAGGACTCCCAAGTTCTAGCGTCTCCAGTGTAGAAGGCATATCAGCTTATGCACCCATAGTTGATTTGGTGGCAGGAGACTAACTCTATATGTGACCCTGGATAGTTGTAGGTATATGCCGAATAACTCCATTTAACCGCGGTCTATAACCCGAATATATGGATGGCCATGCTCCGACAACCAGGATTTGTCGACTGGAGAAATTTAATTATTGGATTGCGGATATAGTTTAATGTAATGGATTCATGCTCCGCCTGTAACCTTGGGAGGCTGCTGTATTTAACAGTAGAAAGTCTTCGATCAATTTGCAACCCTCATCGGTGACGGTTCATCAACTCATGGATGCATCGTTACAACCATACTTTACCGTTTATACATGTGTTCATAAGTTGTAGTTGTACACTACATCTTCATGCAGGTGGACGTGTGTATAGATGACAGGAATGCAACTGCTCCCTGATCTCTCTCCAAACCATCAAAAAGTTGTGGAGGGAGTTTGGCTGAATACAGCAATTCTGCAGTGCTGCAATTTGTGAAAATAATGACTTCGTTTCAAATGGTTCCGTCACACGCGTATGTACACACGTGCGCATATCGACGTGCGAGACGGAGACCTGGGGTACATTAAATGAGCAGAGGTTTGCCATCGCGCCACAAGGTGGACGTTAACTTGTATTGTACGGTGTTAGCAGTGCCTTTATTAAAATGGCAGAGAACGTTGTGCATTGCTAGATGACCTAACCAAAATGGAGGTGCTAAAGTAACTAACATGGATGCCAGCTGCATTGGTAGTGAATGTCCACCATATCTTGAAACAATCCTGACGCGCCGACCTAATGGTCAGCAATGCAGCTGCTCGGACGTTAGATCCTGTTTCGATGCACTCTGAGCTAACTGGTCATTCAATAGAAAAGTGTTCTCGATTGCACTGCCTGTTGAATGGGGACCCTTGCTTTTTCAGCTCGGTCAAGTTAGCGATGATGCCTTTAGGCGAGAATGAGCTTGTGAGATCTGTCCAGTCCCCGAATTAGGATAATCTTCTGTCTTCAGAGAAAATGTCGTTTTGACCAAATCTCCCAACTAATTGGCTCTATTTTTTGTGTATATTTTGCTTATCTCATAAATTTAACTCATGCTTGTTTTTGTGCTTGTGATGTGTATGCAAGTACACCACGCATTGTAATGTATTGTCACTAGTAAAATGCAGAAAGTTATACAAGTTTGGCGAATACATTGTGTTGGCAGTTTATTTTCCAGTAAATTATGGACTGCTTTAAGGGAATGTGGAGGAATGCATTCATTTGGTGGAAACTTTTTCGCTCCGGTAAAAAAAAATGACGCCGTACAAGTAACTTTAAAAATAACTCGTGCGTCAAATTCACCTTTTATTTCTGAGATAAATCACGCGTCAAATGTTTATTTCAGAACAAACTATACAAATGTGCTTCAAATTATTGAAAGTTTAAGCAAAAGTGAGTACATGTCTAGCCTCTGCATACCTGTAATTGTAAAGGCAAACTTGCAATTAACAGAAAAACGCATGTTGTCTTATGACTAAGATATCGATGATGAAATTTGTTCAGGGTGAACTTGGTTTCCTCCTTCAGGACAGCAGCTCTTAATTGCTACAGTCAGCCTTAACCTAAAATTGTCACCAGCCACGAAATAAAACATGGGATTGAGGGCTGAATTCAAGCTGCACAGGTCTTTGGTAATGATGTAGGCTACTCTAATCACCTGATTGTCACACGGATGCGGTGGATAGAGAGTGAAGTACATCTTGACATTTCGCAATATGTGGTACGGCACAAAGCAAGTGGAAAAGAGCACCAGGGCACAGATGATGATCTTGACAGATTTTTCCTTTGATATTTGCCGACCTTGCATGCGTTCCTGCCGGAGCGCTCGCACGCATAGCAGGTAGCACACGAGCATAACCAGGTAAGGTAGCGTAAAACCCAGGACGGTGAGCACGAGGCTGTAGACGAACATTGTTGCGATGTCAGCGGAGTCTGTGAATCCGTGGCACCGCAAGTTGTTGCTGGATGGGTACTGAGACACGGACACGAACGACAAGAGGGGCGACACCTGGGCCAAAATGCACGTCCAGCCAGCGACGCACATCCAGAGGGACACGCGGTGTCGTGGCGAGCGGTGCCACTTCAGAGGGTGGACGATGGCTACGTAGCGATCCAGGCAAATGTAGACCAAGAGGATGATGCTGGTGTACATTTGGGCATAAGTCAAGAAGCGCATCAGCTTGCATGTGATGGAGCCAAACACCCATATGCTGTCATTTGCCTGAAAAGTTAAAGCAATGATAAATAGCACTGCATTAAATTCAAGTCAAAATATCTGCATCTCCCTGCTCAAAAAGGCATTTGCAATGCTCATCTCTACTGGCAAGTTTAGCTGCCCTGCCCATACTGCTGACACTTAGGCTACGCCCATTTTAAACATTTATAAACAGTTTGCCGTTAGAGGCTAACCCCCTTTTCCTGATGACGACTGCTTGTGTTGCGATCGAAACGTAGTTTTTTGTTATTTACTTTGAACCTATCTACGTGACTTTACCGAAATACCCAAAGAATATTATTCCTGCAGTCACGAAAGCTTTAAGTTAAAATTTTGGTACTCATTAGCTCCCCTGAAAAACTGATTGGCAGATTTGAACTTGCAACCGTTTGAATTTGCTCGAACAATAAGACCTTCCAGCCAGATTTTCTTCGTATAATATCAAGTGAAATATATATAAGTGGATCAATATCCAAATAAAAGTATATGATTTGTTGGGTTAGCCAAAATCAACTATAAAAAACTAAAAAAAAAACATCTTGGATTTTTTACCTTAAGGGAAAAATATGGTCTGCAAAAACAGAAGCACATGTTCACGATCGTCCAAATATTGCTAATGAGCCATTTATATTTCTGGCAGCAGTAATGCATTGGTAACATGCAGGAAGGTACTCGATAAGACAAACTAGTTTTCATATGGGTCATTGAAATTTTACACACGTGGTATGCACAATTAGCAAACGATACACTTCCTGAAATTAGACCTTTCAACACAGAATTGTAATACAAAAAAGGTTATATAAAACAAATGCCCACAGTTGCCCCAAAATGTGGAGCTGGTTGAGACGCTGGTGAAGAACTACGGCACAATGGGCTGTAGGATGTCCCTCAAAGTCCATATCCTTGATGCTCATCTTGATACATTCAAGGAGAACATGGGAGCGTACTCGGAGGAGCAAGGTGAGCGCTTCTACCAGGATATACTGGACTTTGAACGCCGCTACCAAAGACAGTATAACGAGAACATGATGGAAGACTACATTTGGGGGCTGATTCGTGAAAAGTGATTTACAGTATAATCGTAAATCTCGAAAAACTACTCACTTCTAAATATTTTGTAGTCATTTTTGAATTACTTTAGTATAAATACACGTTCATTTGTAATCATATGTTGTTATTTTCTGACTTTATGTGAGCGAAAATACAGAAATTCGCCCGTTTTCTCAAAATATCACTGTCCTGGTCACAAAAGCAAACTTTGTGGGGAACAATAGACATTTTCTATAATTTTTAGGCATAAGCAATTAGGAAATAACACTTAGAACCCAGGAACAAAAATTGTGTTACATAGTGTTTTGAGTGGCCACTGGATTAACCCTTGTGAGAGGCTGGCTGCGAAATCATGCGTTGGCACTCTGTGTGGTATCACGTTCGTGTAGGAGCGATCAGCACGCTGCACTATGAACCCGGCGACCCGAGTTCGATTCCCGCTCATGGTGGCCACCAACACCGGTGACGATTATCCAAACCTGTCCTGGGCCTCCCCTAGGTCGACTCAGCCTCAATTGAGTACCTGGTGCGGTGTGTAGTAACCGTCGCCACTAGGGAGACAAAGGCGGTCGGGCGTGGTGCTGGCCACCCACCCCCTGGTATACCATGCAGGTGCTACTAGATAACAGCACTTGCCCCAACATCCTGCTAAGGCTATATAACAGTGTGTCTTTCTTTGCATTACCTGGTACACGATCTGCATGGGCAGGGTGAGGAGGTAGAGGAGGTCGGCCACAGCCAGGTTGAAGAGGAAGACCGTGCTGGAGCTCCAGGTCCTCACGCTGCGCGCGTACAGCCAAATTGCGGTCAAGTTGCCGGGCAGACCCACCAGCAGCACGAGGCAATACATGGCTGTGTGGACATACTTGTCAAACAGCGTGCCCGTCTTCCCGCAGATGTCACTCCCGGCAGACTCGTTGATCTGGGCGTCGATCAAACCGGTGGTGTTGGAACTCGCCATGGCTTGCCCTGCCTTGACTGCCAAGCCCACTGGCTTGCTGGTCAGGAGGAGTAGAACTTGTGTTATCGAGTCGGGGCTGATAAGGGGGTAGAGTGGTTGGGGATGTGTAAATGCTTGGTTAGTGTGTGATGTCAACATGTGGCCGAGGTTGTTAAGCTTTTCAGAAAATCGTTTCAAGGTCTGTGGCCACTTAAATATAGCACGTTTTGTGAGTAGCACAGATCAAGGAGAAGTGCAATTGGGTTATTTTTCCAGGTCTTTTTTTTACTCAGTCAATGGACACCTCGAGATTTTAGCTACATTTACGTTGTTTTCAAATCAGTGTAAATGAAGCGCAATGTGAAGATATAAGGTAAAAATCTGATGAAATAAAATAAAAGTAGGTTTTACCCTTTCTAGCAACAAAACAGGTATTAAGATGTTCAAACACCACGTAGCAAAAGGTATCGAATGCAATTGCGAGTTCGCGTTCTAGGGAATGTTAATTTATTTAGATTTCAGGTAATTCGGTTCGTAAGTACGGATGTTCGTAAGTTAGGTGTTCGTAAGTACGGGTGTTCGTAAGTCGGGTGTACTATATATCTTCTTATCCTTTTAAATTTGATGAAAGCAACAGTTTTTTATTGTATTAAACACATCTGATGTAGTGTACTGTAATGATTTATTAATAATTCACAACTATTTTCTGTATCTTTCCGTTCGTGTATTTCTTCTCAGGTAACTCTTAGTAACCACGGAGCATCACATTTTCTGTTGACATTTGTTTAATAGGTGATAAGCTTGCACTGGGATCTGTACATGTAATATAATTTCTTTAATAATTGACAAATAATCTAAACAGGTATTTGACTGCAGTATTTTGGAAAAACAATATAATATATTTTTTACATGGAAAATCTAATCCTTGAAAAACTGCCAAAATTACTTTAGAGTATTTGGCTACTATAAATGTCCTTATAGTAAGAAACTTGGTTGAGCTATAATTTGTGGCCAGATCGCTTTGAAAAAAAAAGTTTGTTTTGTTTTAGCATCATGTACAAGATCCAAAACAATGAATGTGTAACCCTGTTTAACGCCTGCCTTCGCGGCAATGAGATGCCTTAGGAGGCAAGATGACACATTTGTTTGTAACAAGTTGTGTACGAGTTTGAGCATACAGTACTCCCATTTTACATGTGGAGGTTTCTTCATACACTCCTCTTTCCTCCCACATACAAAAACATGTTAAACAAAGACGGCCTACCCTTTAGACGTATTTTCAGGCGGCACTGTGCGATGTCACGAAACGTGCAGTGGAATAAAAAAAACACATCAGAGAGCTATAAAGCACCACGACGAAGACCTGCAATCATGATGCCTTTCATTCTGAAACAAGAGCCATCCGGGTCGTGCAAATGAGTTGGGCTTTTCTGTGTGTACAAAGTGGTAGACTCAATGATGTGTATATTGCCACCACTGGCAGTTGACTGGCAGAATATGGAAATTGTAGCAGCATATGGATTGAATGTTGCTATCGGGTTGTAAATTTGTTTGCATTGATTCACCGAGCCAGAGATTCAATGAATTGTTACGGATTGTCAATGGATTCAGGGTCACAATTCTATTTAAGAAATATTCTTATTAATCTTGCTTTTTCTGTTTAATTATTTGTATTTGGTATTTTTAAATGTCATTTGTACAATTTTCACGAGTCTAATTGTAACATTAGTAACGCTCATTATCTACTATTAAATCAGACTTCTGTATCTCTACGCAATAATATCTAGAATTTTCTCAGCATATTATAGACATGTTAACCAACAGCATTGGTTTAAGCAAGCAAATTGTGGAGCGGTTTTGACCTTCTGGGTCTCATCGGGACAGCCAGTCTGACTCAGCTGATATTCAATTCTAGATTTTATGTGAGGTAAAGAGCAGATGTGAATCTATGTTGTTACACTGGATATCCGCATATAATTTCCATAAATTATTACGCACACAATTTGATATACGGACCATGAGTGTGAATTGAGAAAAGGCTGTTCATTGCTTATTTTTTAAAATGAGATATTAATTGATGAATGGATGCACCATCACAATGCCTAGCCGTTTACCTACCAGTGACTGCACACTAAACGAGACTTCGGTCACTGGTCACATCAAAATGTATTATTGACACCATTACACATCAATGCACTTGGTAAACATTTACAACATGACATAGCTCTCACCAGCGTAGACTACGATTGAAAACTCATTTATTTAGAACTGTTTTTTTGTGTTTAGTTTGTTGTTCTTCCTCCGCACCTCCGATTCGTGTGGTTGGATATGTAAGGTGCGAAAGAAGTTCAACGCACATACATACAGACGATAAGGGACAGAAAAGCAGAGTGAGTAGTATGCGAGACTTCCTCTACCTTTAAACAGGGGTACCAAGCTCGCCCAACTGTGGCATGTAGAACTTGGGCACTGCTTGATTTCACATCTTTATTGGGCTAAACCTCGGTTTCTCAAAGTCCTTTTTGACATTTTCCTGTTATGCCAGATAATAAGGTAATTTAACATCCAACTGTGGATGTTGACTTTGCGACGGCTATGAGAATCTACTACAGCAAGGGGTGTGTGTGTGTGGTATAGCACCAGTGGCTATGATGACTTCTTGACCTGAACCTAAAATGTTTAGGGCAGTCGGCTGTCACGCATGTTCCCGCCTCCCCGATGTGCCTCTCCTTACCAATACCCCCCCTACCGTCCTTCCCACCATCACACAGGGTTATCCAAGCTCTGGTAACATGTTACGAGTCGGACAAATACCAAATTCTCCAGATTACAAGATGCACTTTTCTGTATGTAATTTCGAGAAAAAGTTGGGAGGAATGTATCTGCTAGGTGTGTGTGTGTGACCAGATTTGTATACATCTGTAAACAACGAGCACAAGTTTGGGGTTGCGTATTCGTTTCCAGAGTGTTTTATAATAGTTATCTGATTTCACAGGCATAGTCCTTGCAAAGCCCAAACAACTTACACCTAAAAGTGCACTGCTAACACCGAGAATATAATAACGTAACGCCACTGAGGATTCCTGATCAAATGTTAGAGCATTTGAGAGAGCATATATATTTATTCAAGGCCTCACTGAGTCTAAAGACAATGGTTTAGGTCAGTTCATATTCGGATGTTTAGACAATTTCTCAATGAAATGCATACAGATAGCTCAACAACCTATTTGTTGTACTGCACTGCCCACTCTTGGCCACCTTATACCTCTATAGGTTGGGAGTCTGATATATATATACAGCAACAGATCTGGTTGGGCCAGCTGGTAATGAAATATAGCTCAAACAAGTATATGCCCTTACACAACATAAAAACACAATTTCTCAAAATGCAGAGCAGACTGGAGCAAACACACTGCTCTCAGAATCGAGATCTAGAGCCACAGGCAGCTTTATAAACGTTTAATATCATATGGAATTAAAAATATATTTTTTTATGAGAGGGGTGAGTGGATTCATGGCAAATGAAAAAGGAGTGGGATACTGGACATCTTTGCCTGGTGCCTCTGTTAAGGTTAAACATATCTCGCCCAGGATACTAAGTCATGATCTTATAGAGAAATGGCCATTCAAGCCCTCACAGCCTTCTCCACCTTCAGGGGGATTACTTTCAAAATTTTACCATTGTTCTGATGCTGCTGGACCTCCTTCCTTTTATAAACACAACGTGGTTATTATGGACTTAGGCAGGATGCACTCAGGGCACTGTGATGCTTTCTTGAAGATTCTGTAATAATAATGGTTTCAAAGGGAGATAACCATGTACGGTAGTCGGCAACATTGGATGGGTCCAAGTCTTACGTTCTTCATGGGGTGTCACGGTGGTGAGATTTTAACTCCCTCGCCTGGTATACAGGATGGTTGTGCGTTCGATCCCGACCCAGACACCTGTATATTTGAATGTTCTCCCGTGGTTGCTGTGGTCCTGCCTGACTCTCTTGAATATGGAGCTCCCTCCTTTATATACATTAAAATAACTGTCAACTTTTGGTAATTGTTTTAGCTGCCCTTCAATAAGCCGCTGTTTTGTTCCTCCTCTGACATCCACTTTCAAAAGTCCTCTTCATGTTTAACAAGCCTCTGAAAGCAGAATAAATAAACGTTAGACAAACTCTTTTGAACTCAATCCTATATGTAAAGTTGAAGTACACATTTCAATATAAATTAAAAAACATGAAATATTACTTTAAAAGAAGAATTCACAGGAATATTCTGTCTGGCTTCATTATTTTTAAACATATGTTTTTGAAATGTAAGTCCACACAGTTATTTATCCACCGCTTTATAAACTCAATATGACAATCAATTTTGTAGCCATACAACTACAGGCATTCCTCTATTTACGAATACAATGCGTTCCTGAACAATGCTGCGTAAATCAAACATTCGTAAATCAAAACAATAATTCCCGTTATTTTAAAGGAAAAAATTAAGGCAAAGTTATCATAATGCAAGATAATCTGTAATTTGAATTTTCCCTTTACAATAATGAAACCATAAATTACGATGATAATAATAATACTTTACTGTAATAATGAAACTCACCTGATTCCTATGGTTCACTTAGTGTGTCGAGATGAGTGACTGGGGAGGAGGAGGAGAAGTGGCAGGTTGGTGGCTATCTTCTACTGGGGCTGGCCAGGATTCTTGGCTGGGTGATGGAGTTTGTGGCGTAGATGATGATGGTTCAGATTCGGAGGCAGGGTTTCCAGGAGCTACTGGTGCATGAGGCCTGACGAATCAAGCTAAGTTAAGGGAACATTCAATGCCTACCAAAGCGTTTTCCTTTCTCACGCCTTTTAATGATATCTGGATTCGTTAATGGCTTGCCTAGACTTCTTTACTGGAGTAATAGCTGGTGATGTTGATTCATGCTTGCTACTCATATTGAAGGGTGCTTGAAATACATGGCAAATAACACAACAAATGCAGACCCATGGGGGCACACGCTAACAACCGTTACA